CCTTGATGACTTGGTAGCTCCTGACAACATAGATGTACACTTACCCTTGGTGACTTGGTAGCTCCTGCCAACATAGATGTACACTTACCCTTTGTGACTTGGTAGCTCCTGCCAACATAGATGTATACTTACCCTTGATGACTTGGTAGCTCCTGCCAACATAGATGTACACTTACCCTTGGTGACTTGGTGGCTCCTGCCAACATAGATGTACATTTATCCGTGGTGACTTGGTGGCTCCTGCCAACATAGATGTCCACTTACCCTTTGTGACTTGGTAGCTCCTGCCAACATAGATGTACACTTACCCTTGGTGACTTGGTATCTCCTGCCAACATAGATGTACCCTTACTCTTGGTGACTTGGTATCTCCTGCCAACATAGATGTACACTTACTCTTGATGACTAGGTATCTCCTGCCAACATAGATTTACACTTACCTTTGGTGACTTGGTGGCTCCTGCCAACATAGATGCGTGCATAAGAAGTCTGACAATAGCAGTAGCTACAGGTGGCATTTGCCTTTCAGGTATGGGCATTTCATTGTGTCTTCCTTCTGGTGCACCAAGAATATGACCAGTTTGTGTAGCATCTTGCCTGAAAATATTAGGATGAAGTGTTACTTTGTTTCTGCAGTACCACACGACAGGGAGCAACTAATATTACACCATAATGAAATGATCTTGAATGCACGATTCTGATTGGTTAAAATGATAGACACATGACGCATATACATTTTGTAGTCGCGATATACAACAATTATGAAAATAAAATATTGTCAACAATGTTTGCAGAATAAGTATACACTAAATCATAGACACTAGGATCTATGGCTAAATCAAATGTGTGAAGCACGTTTTTGGCACAATATTTAAAATGATATTGTTTTAAAAGCTGCATGTGTTTTGGAGAGACTCATGTATGAATGAATGTTTACATATGGGTAGCAGCAAGTTTTGGAACATATCATGTTAAAAACCAGTTGCACATACATGAGAAAGCTAGTAAATTAGATAAATTGTCAAAATTTTGTGTCATGCTTTGTCATAGTTAAAGGCTTTTTGGTACAATAATGTACTGTTATCACCATGAGCCTGGTTTGAGCACTGTTTATGTTTTGAACTGAGTATGCATGTAGTGTGGTCAATGTAGTAAGACCAATCAGAGGACAGAAAAGCAGCAATAGGCCTGTTGTTGCACTCAGTTCCGATGTCAGTGCCAAGTAATAAAATCATCATTAGCCCAGGTATATACCATGTACTCACATCTATTTATATATGTTGTAATGTGCAAAACAACATTTATCTTGCGGTGTATTTGATTGGACGATGCTTAGATATTATCTGGGGCTCTTTGAAGCTATTGCAAACTAGAATACTTGTCATGAAATATATTTAGTGACCATAACAAAATAAAATCTTACTGTCTGGCTAGTCTGTTTCCTCGTTCAAGTTTGGAACTTTGTCCACCAATAGGAACGTTGCAGTCTTTGCATCGGCTTACACTTGCTGGGTTACCACACTGTAACAGGATTATAATGAGAGCAAAGTGATGTCATGCACTGATGGCCCAATGATTTAAAATACAAATGCAAACACATTCAGGTACATGTGAATGTAGAGTTCCACATTTTCTAATTTTTTGAATAAAAAAAAATAAAAAAATATATATTCCTGAATGATTTAAGACTTTAAAAATGTAAATTTACAAAAAGATAAAATACAAGTTAATCATGGCAAAGCTCTTGTAGGAAAAATATGCAATCATTGTTGTTTTTTAAAAACAAAATATCTAGGAAATGAAAATTCAGTTGGTGTTGAAGAGCAAGGCCATTAGAGGTTAGGCTCATCAGTCAGCAGATGCTCAGTACCAATATATAGCAAATTTGATCAAAATCCATTCTGAAATTTTGCTTACACTGACAGACAGAAACGTAGGAGCTAATAAGATATTTTAAAACTTTTAAAGAATGCATGGGAACCTTGAAATGATCTGCCAAGGTATATTGAACAGACTTATTTTGGAAAATGAAGAGTATCTTATTTTCCAACTACTGCAGTATA